AGTTGTAGTAGGTAGTAGTAGGTAGTAGTAGTAGTAGTAGTAGTAGTAGTAGTAGTAGTTGTTGTTGTAGTAGTAGTAGCAGTAGTAGTAGTAGTAGTAGTAGTAGTAGTAGTAGTACCAGCAGCAGCAGCAGCAGTAGTAGTCGTAGTAGCAGTAGTAGTAGTAGTCCTCATAGTAGTAGAGGTAGTAGGAGTGTTGATCAACCGTAGTACTGGTGCTAGAACCGGCGCTAAAGCTGCAAGTGCTAGTGACTGGTGGTTGTACTTGTGCTCCTCTATGAAATCCCTTCATGAACCCTAGCCCTTGACGTCACACCCGAGAGTTAAACAATATGCAAGCCCCTCGTCAAGCCTGAGCTTTAAACCATGCAAACCCCCTACTCGCACGCAGACTTTAAAGAAATCGTCCGGAAGCCGTTTCCACCTATAAATCACTAGAAGAACCTGTAACACAAAGCAGGCTTAAGGATGCTTATACAACCAAACCGTATGAAAGCCTTAACAACCCTTCAGAAGGCAGTTCAATATCTTCGAATTCCAAGACCCTGTAGCACACCCTGAACCCTGAACCTCAAAGGCCCCTCAAACCCTAAACAACCCTCAACACCCTAAACCCCCTTGAACCTTTAAGAGACCAAAGAGAAAACCCTAAACCCTAAACCGTAGGCCCTAAACCCTAAACCCAAAATCCTAAACCCTAAACTCAAAGAAAAAAGCCAAAACCACCAGAGCCTCCTCGGCCGGGGCGATGAGCGTCACTTTGGGCTCCGGGCCTCGAAAAGCCGAGCGCCTGAGGGCAGGGACTTGGGGTTTCGGTTTAGGGTTTCCGATTTGGGGTTTAGGGTTTAGGGTTTAGGGCTCTAGGGCTTTAGGGTTCTAGGGTTTAGGGTTTAGGGTTTAGCGGTTTAGCGGTTTAGGGTTTAGGGTTTGGGGATGTTTGGGGTTTATGGTTTAGGGTTATTTGGTTGGGTACTGCCCCCAGCCTCTAACACTGTAATGCAGGGGCCTTAATAAGTAGAATGGGGTTTTGGAGTACATTATACTATAAATATAATGAGGACCCCCCAAAATAGTCTAGGCAAATTCTTCGGGGCCATATTAAGGGCTATATATACCTTTAATCTGTAAGTCTCTTTTAACTGTTACAGAGTGAGAGCAGGGACGTGGGGTGTCGGCTTTCACGGGTTTCGTAAGGAGGGGTTCAGGCTGTAGGGGGGTAGTTCTCAAAATTAGGGTCCCTTTTGGGTCCCCAAAATAGTACGGCACCCTTATAAAAAGGACCTTAAAAGTACTTCAGAAATCTACCCACAGGGGCTTTATGGGATTTAGGATCCGCCCAGCTTCCGACGAACTGCTGGAAAGCCGGTGGAACGTTTGCCACCAGCTGACCGTAGTTGGCGGCATCTGACACCAGGGTCAATCCCTGGAGTGCATCCGCATTCTTCGCATTCCATCCATCAATGTGCGGCAGGACCGTGTGCGCTTGCGGGACCCCAGCATCGTCGCTCAGCGCTTGGACAGGATGGCTACACTTGATATCAACGCTTTTCTCGTGAACCTCTTATCAGGAGAGGAGGGAGGAAAAACTGAGATACAGAGAAGTAGTGACGAACGCTGCCAAGTCCTACATCCAAGCCACTGGCATGCTTCATGTCACAGAGACTGATCCAGGTCAGGCAGCCAGGCGCATCTATTAACCGTTTGTGCAATGGATGAGGTAGGCTTGGACACGGAGCTTTCCGTGTACCGAGCAGGAGCAAGGCAAGGCCTGTTCACATGGATCAACCAGCGTGATTTGTTGCTCCACACGGGTTAGGAGGTTGCTCTTGATCACGAAACCAATAAGAAACCAAGTGTCTAGGGTTAAGGGTTTAGGGCTTAGGGCTATTTTTTGAGGGCCTTTTTTCTTCAGCTACATGTCCACAGAGAGCTTCATGGGGCAGGGTTTATTTAGGCTTTGGGGCTTAGGTATGGTGTTTCTTTAACCGCTGCTTAGAGAAGTTCAGGGTATGGTGCTCAGGGCTTCAAGGTGGCTTAGGGTCTGTTGGTGCTTATCGGGTGCGGAGTTCTTCGCTTGCATGGTTGAGGATTAACGGCTTTAGGAATTAGGGTTTAGGGGTTACTTGGAGGTTCATGGGTAGTTATAAGTGGGGATATATAAGTAGGGTAACTGTAATTATAACCCTTATTAGGAGACTTATAGCTCCACTTATAACTACCCATGAACCTCCAAGTAGGGGTTTAGGCTTTAGGAGTTCAGTGCTGGAGGACTGAACGGCATTCGGCTTGGGTTGTGGATTTTTGTGGGGATTGGGATCTTGAACTTTGGAGTTGCAGGTCTAATGTAGGGGCCTGAATAATTTCAATAGGGTTTTGGGCTCCTTTACAGGAGGCGCCGCATTTTCCGCCTAGTCAAGGACCTACGGAGGTTGAGGTGCCAGAAGCACTACACCCCGAAATCCTCATCCTTACTGCCCCAGAACAGAAATTGTTGAAGCAGGTGATCAGGGGTGAACCCCGGAACCGTTCAATGCTGGCTTCATGGCTTAGGTGTTCTGCTCCTTCGTAGAAGTACTTAACGCGAAACCCCAGGAAGCTTTCCCGCACAGACTCCTACAGTCACCGGCCCCATTGGGGAAGTAAGATGAACCACAAGCCCTGTTCTTTTAGGGATGCTATAAGGGTACTAGAGGGTTTAGGTTTTATAAGTTATAAGAGTTACTATAGGGATACTATTTCGGGAATATGCTTGAGGTTGTAAAAACCTTGATTGGAGGCCTTTTTACTTGAGGGGTGTGAGCGTTTTGGGGCTCACTGGCCAAACCTACCCCTGGAACCCTTTCTGAACCCCTTCGCCCCTCCACCAAAAAAACAAAGCTAGCACGCAAACCTCCAAACCCTTCGACGCGAACCAGAAGGCTCAAGCCGTCTGAACCCTAAAACGCTGAAACTTAAAGCTCCAATCCTTAAATCCCTGCCCTGAACCCTGGAAAAACAGATTTTTGACCCGTTCCAGCCACACAAGACGCCGCAAAAGTTGACCCTAAACACCCTGGAAACGGTTTCGGGTAAAGATCCGCGGCTTGAGCCCTGAACCCTAAAACCTAAAACCTAAACCGTGAACCCTAAATCCTAAACCCTGAACCCTCCCCCCTAAACCCTGCACCCATAGTGCCCTCATCGTAACCCTTATAGTATCCCTTATAGTATCCCTATAGGAACTCTTATACAACCTAAAAGCATCCCTAGAAGAAAAGGGCTTGGGGTTCATCTTACTTCCACAATAGTCCGGGGGAACAGAAGGCGAAACTGTCAGATCAGTACTAAATTATAAGGACCCCAAAGAGTTTAAAGGTTGGGTATTGGAGAACGAACTGGGTTGTAGTTTTGGGGGTCCCGACAACTATTTATGAATAGCTACCTGTCATGTCAGCATGAAACGACTAACAACCCTAAAAACCAACCCTGAACCCTAAACCCTTGTAGCAACCCTTATAGAACCCTTTAAGGAAGCCTTCCTTATGGAAACCTTTAAGGAACCCTTGAATAGCCCTGATAGAACCCTTTAAGGAACCCTTTAAAGGAGCCCTTATAGAACCCTTTAAGGAACCCTTATAGAACGCTTTAAGAAACCCTTAAAGAACCCTTTAAGGAGCCCTTTAAAGGAGCCCTAAACCCTAAACCCTAAACACAAAACCCTAAACCCTAAACCCTAAACCCTAAACCCTAAACCCAAAACCCTAAACCCTAAACTTTAAAGGAGCCCGGTGCCTGAACTTGAAGGATCCCTGGGAGACCAGGCGGTCGGTGCCTGGAGGTCTCGACCAGCGCTGGCGGGCAAAAAGGGCTTCGGGATAAGGGCTCCTTCTCATTTAGGGTTCATAAGGGTTTAGGGTTTTGGGGTTTAGGGTTTAGAGGTTTGGGCCCATTTTAGGGTTTAGGGTGTAGGGTTTTGGGGCTTAGGGCTTAGAGGGTTTGGGCTCATTTTAGGGTGTAGGGATTTGGGGTGAAGATTTTAGTAAGGCGAGGATGGTTTGGGTATGAGAGGTTCGGGTTTGGGGACTCGGGGTATGGGCTTCGTTTATGGGGTGCTCCTTCTTATGGATAATGCAGGAGCTCGTCCAGCAGAAACATGCTGCTTAAAGTGATGCTGACTTCCAAGGACCGGACAGGTGCGAATCATCGACTTCTGTAGCTTCCCACCTTCGCCGGAAGTCGCCTCACTGCATTGGAAAGAAGCGCATGATTGTCTGCGGGAATTATCCTTTCGGTCGGGGCTGCGGCTGTAGATTGCAGGGTTTCAACATTCGACACGTACCGAACCCTTCCACTAGTGAGGGTGCATTGCCTCGCCTTGCTCCATCAACAAGACTGCATCCCAGGGGCTGCACGAGGCTGCACGAATTTAGAACAGGGGGAAAAAGACGTAGCTCCCTGAACCCTAAACTTGTTTCAGTCTTGCAAGCGACAGCTGCTTCAGAGGTTCGACGAGTTTTGTCTTAGAGCAGCTACTGATTGACGGGCACAGTGTACGGCTTACGGAGAACTGAGCTGAAGGCCAGTATTATACACTATACCCCGAGTTCCTAAACTCTAGAGACTGCAACCCTGAACCGTCAACCTCCATCATAAAGCAGAATCCCCGATCTTCCCACAGCCCTTCATTTAGGAATAGACCTGAAGCTAGTTTGGGTTCCCTACTATGATTCCCTAATACCTAAACC